CAAAAAAATCGATAAAATCGATAAAAGTAATCGATAATCCCGAAAACCAATATTATATTCGGAATCCCCATGCTCGATTACCCCCTTGTGCGAACTCCCAGCCCCGTAGCTCAAACTTTGCAAAAAAATCGATAAAATCGATAAAAGTAATCGATAATCCTGAAAACCTTATTCGGAATCCCCATGCTCGATTACCCTCCTGTGCCAACTCCCAACCCCGTAGCTCAAACTTTGCAAAAAATCGATAAAATCGATAAAAGTAATCGATAATCCTGAAAACCTTATTCGGAATCCCCATGCTCGATTACCCTCCTGTGCCAACTCCCAACCCCGTAGCTCAAACTTTGCAAAAAATCGATAAAATCGATAAAAGTAATCGATAATCCTGAAAACCAATATTGTATTCGGAATCCCCATGTCGATTACCCCCCTGTGCCAACTCCCAGCCCCGTAGGTGAACTCAGCAAAAAATCGATAAAAATCCATAAAATCGATATCGATCGATGACGAAAAGTAGCCTATGACACCCGCCGGGGCCCGAAGTGTATGTGTGCCAAGTTTGGTCCGGATCGGTTCAGAAATGGAATTTTCTATTCGGAACATACGTACAGACAGACATACATACAGACAGACAGACATACATACATACAAACAGACATTCAGCTTTATATATAAGATATGAAGTTTAGTCGAAAATAAAATAATGTAATCTATCAATTTTACGGGAATTCGCTGAAACCTCACTTTTGTGTGTTTTTACTTTGTGAAAATATTGCTTTCGCCTTTGTAAACAAAAAAAAAAACAGAGGGGACCACGTATTGTTGGGAGAAAAAATCAATCACTTTATGCGGCAGTATATTTTGCCGAATCTTTAGGAACATTTTGCTAAATTTCTAGGATATTCGTTGCTGAATATCACAAAAATTTCTAAAACGTACTTTTAGGTGCTTCTATTGCTTCTACATTGAGAAATTATTGTTTTAGTTTCTACGGCAAACGAGCAGAGGGAGCTTGGTCTGCTGCAAGGAAAGACCAAGAACTCTACACGAGAACACATTTTTGCCAACTATTTTAATGCCAAATCTTACGTAAACTTGCTGAACATTCGTTTTTTGGCTGCCTTTGCTTTGTAAAAATCCTACTTTGTCAATAAAAACAACATAGCAGACAGAGTTTGTCTCAAGGAAAGAAAGGCTCCAGTGAGCTTATGCGGCAGGACATTTTTGATATGATTCTTTAGGTTTCAGCGCCGAATCTCACAAAAATTTGCTTTAAATTCACTTTGGCCGTTTCTACTTTGCGAGAATCATACTTCTGCTTAAAAAAGCAGAGAAAGCAAAGGGAGTTTGGTTACGAAAGAAGGAAAGCTCCAAGGGCTTTATGCGGCAGTGCATTTCTGCTAAGAACTTTTCATCAATGCTAAATCATACAAAAACTCGCTTGTAATCTAATTTTTGAGAGTATGACTTTGCTTCTATTACTACTCACATTGCGCTAAAGATCGTTGAAAAAATGGATTCAGTTCCTTGCTATTCTTAGTTGCACCGACAATTATCAATGTATCTGCCCCAACCCACTTACTAACGGCCCCTAGGGTGCTACTGCCGCAGGACATTTTTGCTGAGAATTCCTTGTTTCGAGGCTAAAGCGCCTATTTTAAGAAAATTACCGTCTGACTGCAAGCTTCATGCGGCAGGACATCTTTGCTAAGAATTTCTTCTCATTGCCAAATTATAGTAAAACCTGTTTGAAATTCACTTTTGTCCGCATCTACTTCGCAAAAAATCGTGCTTCTGCTCCTAAAAGCAGAATAAGCAAGAAGAGCTTGGGGGGAAGAAAGAACCAGGGGCTTTAGGCGGCAGGACATTTTTTTTTAAAGAATGTCCACAAAGCTTTGAGCGAGTTCTGGTTTCGCTTCAAGAAAAATGTTTCTTGGCAGATTATCAGGCGAGTGTCCAAAGGTCGGTGTGTTTGCAGCCGTTGCACTGTTTCTGAGTGTGAACCTGAGTTTTGGATTACAACTGTTTTACTAGATGACTGCTGAGGTAATTCCCATATTTAGGAGCTGCGGTATCTGAGGTAGGGTATTTGCAACAAGAACAGCGTAGAAGATTTGGGAATTACTCGTTGTCAGAAGTTTCCTTGAGACTGTGATTTTGCTTCTATCGCTACTTACATTGCGCCAAAGATAGAGATAATGGAAATTTAGTTTTTTGCTAATTTTAGTTGCATGCAGACAATTATCAATGTATCTGCCCTAACCCACTTACCAGCAAAATCACCTTTGAGCGCCCAAATGGTACAACATTTCCATAGGAACATAATTCAGCCGATTACTTCCCGACAATTTATCAGTTTATCCAATTTTTGCGGTCATTTGGCGTTAAAAATTTGCCTCTGCGAAGTCCTCTTTTTTCGTAGTTTGATGAATGCTGGTTGCATGGCACATCTTAATGCACATCTTAAAGGCAGCGTCCAGGCAAGTTTGGGCACATGAGGATCACACGTGGATAGTGATTTTGGGGCCCTAACTAAGCCACTGCCCAATCGGCAGCTCAGGTAGTGCTCTAACGGCTGCGATATTCCCCTCGAAACTGTACCCCGCGATCGTATTTCGCATGGATTTATGGCGCAAAGCGTGTGTCCTGGCGCGAAATGTGTCCTGGCGTGTGTCCTGGCGCTGCCGCTTGAGCAGTGCCTTAGTTAGAGCTCCAAAAATACTTTCCACATAAAAACCACATAAGTGCAGATCTGCCTGGACGCTGCCTTTAAGGATCTTCGATGTGCATCTTTAAAACAGATACTGAAAGGATTTGCATATTATATCAAAACTAACGACTCCAAAGGTCGCTAGTTTTGATATAACATGCAAATCACACTGCTCTATGTTGCGAAAATGGCAAAATTGAGGCTGGTCAAAACTTGCAGCCATTTTCTGCTAGAAGTCTATAAAAAAACTCGTCACCTTTCAGTATCTGTTTTACAGATGCACATCGAAGATTTTTAAGATGTACGTTGAGATGTGCCGTGCAACCAGCATTCAGCAAACTACAAAAAAAGAGAAATTCGCAGGGCAAACTTTCAACGCCAAATGCAAAATTTGGATAAAATGATAAATTGTCGGGAAGTAATCGGGCGAATTATGTTCCTATGGAAATGGTACCATCTGGGAGCTCAGATGTGGTTTGCGAATGTCACAGAAAGAGCATCAATTTAGAACATCACTTTTAGAACATCGCTTTAGAACATCACTTCAACTCAGATCCGAAGCATTTCGCTTGAAAAATTAGGCTCAGCCGTTTACAGAATTCTTAAACCAAAAGAAACTATCAGATTACCCTGCTTTCACAGGGAACAGCAATAATTCCAAGCTCACAGGGCTTTACTGGAGACATGATAAGCTACTGCCAGAAAAAAGTTTGCGTTTTCTCACTTTTAGAAACGTTCGAGTTGCTAAGGGAAATTATCAGTTGTAAAAGATTGCGCAAGCTTCTCTTGGGCAGTGTTTCCATGTTTCCAGTGATCTCTGCGAGCTTCGGGTCAGTGTAAGTTTCTGTAAAAATAGGGTTTTTATCAAAATTTGAAAACTTGTAGACAGCTGAGCTCAATATTTCAGGAGAAATTTGCTCGGGATCTACGTTGAATCGATGGTAGTTTGAAAGTACGGCAGATGCTCTTTCTGTGACATTCGCAAACCACCAAGCATCCAGGTGGTACAATATTTCCATAGAAACATTATCCAACCGATCACCACTCCACAAACTATCAATTTATCCAATTTTTGCGATCATTTGGCGTTGAAATGAGTTTGCCCTGTGAAGTCATCTTTTTGGGATTTGATAACTGCTGGTTGCACGGTATATCTCAGAGCTTCGGTGTGCATTGTAGCCCAGATACTAAAAGATAACAAGTTTTTTCGCAGACTTCCAACAGAAAGTGGGTGCAAGTGAACCTCGATTTTGCCGTTTTTCCCAAAGCCTCCTCTGTGCGCATAAACTTCATATCTCTTGACATAGTGTTGAGAAAGATGATTTAAATTCAATATCAAAATTTGGACTCATTCTTTTTGAAACAGAGTAAGATATACCAAATTCACAAAGTGGCTGCATTCTTTTGGCCAGCTATATGCTTGATCAGTCCTTAACATCATATATTCTTTCAATACACAAAGATGTGGCATTTAGCAGCCGCGAGACCAAGTAGCTGATAACCAGTTTTTTTCCTCAAAATTTATCAGAAAGACCAAATACAGTTTTCGCATTTTTTCGACAAGGAAATGCTCCTGGCCTCAATTCTGTGTTAATGTACATCAATTGAGGTCTGTCAACGATCTTCAAAAACATTTTTTTTGTTGTTCACTAAGCAATTTCAAAGGCGTTCTATTTAGTTTTTCTTGCTAAGATTGCATGTTCCACTACTTTATATAAAGTGGCTTCACAAGAAGTGCAGACTTTTCGAAGTTGCATTTTTGATGTTAAAGTTGTTCCTCCCAAGAGCAAAGTTCAGAGGAGGAAAATTGCGGTCAGGTGAGACGGATAATTGATTTTATAGCAAACCAACAAGCTCGTCTCACCTGACCACAACTGAATTGTGATTTTATCTTGTTTATTGTTCAATATATGCGGAGGGTCCCTTTACTATAAGCGTTCCACGTCTCTTGACTAGTATGAATAAGTAAAGGCCACCTTTTTTTGAACTGTAATTCATTTTGTTTCCTAAACTCAAACAATTTTCAAAGTAAACTCTTGTCCTTAATCTGCATCCACACTCAGATGATTCACCTTAGATGTTGTTTTTGTTTGACTATTTTTCAGCTAGAAGGAATTAGATATGTGCTGCTTACAATAACGAAGTTTGCGAAAAGCTCAGGTATACTTCAAAAACGAACTAAGGACACAACCGTTTGTTTTATAGAAAAAACCAAAGCGCAGCATAAAAACCGCTTGAATCGTTCTAACTTTTTTTGATCTATCTATACCCGTTTAATCTCCTCTTCCAGATATGATCAGTCGGTAATCAACATTCTTCTGGCGAACTTATATGACCACAATCCAGAAGGCTACGTTGTGAAGACCAGTGCCATCAAATTTCATAGATGGGCAGCCAAGAATATCTCAGAAGACAACTTCAAATGTGATTGAATTGTGTTTTTCGCTCATCTCTCCTTCCCTGTCCCGAATGCGTTATCTATTAAATTGAGTAAATGAGTGAAATTTTGCGAAATACTTGATCTGACTAGCCGTTCACTCTTATCTACATACGACAAACTCACCTTCATGTCTCAGTTTTATCTAACTCTCTAAAGCACAAAGTGAGCACATAAAAGTAGCTATTGATGCAAAAGTTGGCATGCATGACCTCGAGCCATTTGTAACTGAATATGTGAGATGTACACCAGGCCCTATTAACGATTGCACCCATACTAACTAACCTCCAAGTAAAACATTTTCTAACCTAGCAAAATGTAGAAATGTGTCCTACTGACTAACATATGACCAACTAAAACAAAAGAAACAAGGAAACAAGGAAAAATTACTGAAAACGAGCAGATTTTAGTTCCGCAATTCGTCAGTTAGCTGTATAGTGTGCACTACGCATATTAAGTTACAAATGACTCAACAATACCTATTCTGCACGAAAAATTATTTACAAATCAGATATCTTTACTTTAAAGCCTGCTTATTTGATTCTATAGCTTGTGGTTGAAAAAACGGTGTTTCGATATCCGCGACCACTCTGTGTATGTATCGTCTTCGACTCCCTAGCGCGGCCACAGATTTGCAAATATCTGTCGATACTACATCTTATCCTGATCCTCTCCTTTAATGACCCACTATCAAAAAACGCGACGGCTGCATTGCTTTTGCAGTTGCAATGATGTATGGCTGTTTTAGATTTTAATATTGTCCTCTCACGCAACCGTAGCGGCCATCGCTTGTGGACAAGGATGCGGGCTGGTCAAAATCGAAAAACAGCTGATTTTTCTCCCATCCACATTGACAAGAGTGATCTCTCGCTACCAAAACCGCGCCGCTTTCGAGGAGCAACGCCTCTGTCCGCTACGGCAATGTGATTAGGCCATATTTCGAATAGTCGCCAGTAGCAGAACCGTTCCTGAACACTGGGACGAGGGCGGTGTAGTGATGGGGAAAAGAGGACGCAGACGTCGCGCGACGGGATTATATCAAGACAGCCGGGTACTCATTGTGGCTGTATTTGCTGTGTTGATATATGGAAGCGGACGGTAGTGTGTTGGAATATGCAAGCATGTGATGATAATTAAAGTCGGACAAAATATAGCAGTTAGGTAAATGAGCATGCTGGGTACAGTTATAATAAGTTGTTGTAGATGTTCTTCACTTTTATAGATTTCTTGTGATATTTGCAAACCTTGAAGGCACCGTCCACCCACAATTTCGACTTCCACGTTTTTGTCGCTCTAGGGCCTTCTCTTGTCCCTGATTCTGAATATGAAGTCGAGAATGCGCGAAAACCTCGACAATTCCCGTTTCGAAGAACACAAAAGCCGGCTTTTCGTAACGGTGATTGGATGGGCGCGCACAAATGGGCGGGCATGGATGGAGGAGGGCGGGCTTGGATGGGGGTCCTCGTGCATCTTCGCTATTCCGAAGTGATTTACTCGCTTTCGAAGCTGCATTTTGCGCCGCGACTTGAGCATTGGATTGATAGAGGACCCTACTATTATATGCTGCCAAAGCTCAACACCCTCAACTTAGGGTGGACTGTGCCTTTAAAGGCAGCGGCTCGGCCAATCTCAACATAGTCAAATTTTCGCTTACCTGTGGTTAATCAATACGCTGATTCCAAAAATCCACTTTTGTGAGCTTGAAAATGCCGAAAACGAGCGTTTTTCAATGTTCCCTTCCTTTGGAATTGGAAGAGTGCTGCAAGGCTGATGACGTCGAATCGTTGCAGGACCCAATGGTTATAGCATGGGGGCGGGCAGCCTCCAATGGTGAGAAGGAAATTGCCAACTCGTCCAGATGCGTGAAAAAATGGCCTGCGCGTGTAAGTTTGAGAGCAATTTTCTCGGCAAGGAAGGCATGCTGTGCAACCGGGATTGCACTGTTTTCATACTTGGGCAATAAGGAGTCTACCGCGTTAAAATTTTGAGTTGTTGAGTTTTGCCGAGCCACTGCCTTTGAGCCACGGGGCTGGGGTTGGAACAGGGAGGGTTAAATAAGCATGCAGATTACGAGTAAATTATTGACAGGGCGGGTGGAGTCGGGTTTGCCAGTTAGTTAGAGATAAACTTTCTTGGCAGTTTTTCGTCTTTGTAATCGCATGCCCACTACTATATAACTCCTGGCTCCCCAGTAGTCAATACCAAAGTATGCCTTCATATCTCCCTCCTTATAAAATTAGAGTTGAAAAGAAATCTATGAAAATCCCAATCTATAATTTTCTATAAGGCAGTCTATATCCCAAATGTTGTTACCTTCATATTAGTCCTTGCACTTGAGGACTATACACAAATAGTAATGAGATCGGTGCTTTTCAATGGGGATCTTCAACGTCACTCAAGTCCGGCTGCAAATGATAAGCGGAGATGATGTCTTTGCTCATCAACGTGGACAGTCGAAACATAAGAAATCCGAAAGTAGGCTTCGGGAGAGAAATCGTTGAAAATCTGTTAATCATAATAAAAAGCGAACTTGCGATAATATAAACAATGTGAGAAGATTGAGTTTAATTTCAGAACTTGTTAGCTTCGGGCCAGCCATGTTTGTGTGCTTAAGCCACCATCACCCGTCGCTACTACATTCTGGAGCAATTTTTCTATTCTGTTCGCGGGACTTTTGTGAGAGGCTTGAGGAATTGCTTAATTAGGGGTCAGGCTGCCCTGCAGCATCGAATCTCATCACCCTCGAATCTCGGTAAACGGTCTTTTCAGCCCTTCCCAGTATACTACGTCCCGTTTGTTGAAAAAAAAGAAAAGGCAGCAATGGCTTGCCCGTAATTCATCTTTCGAGATCTACATATTCTCAAGAATCACGTCGTTGGACAGACAACGCAACTTTCCGCATACTCAAACGGCTTAATTTCAATAGTAAAAAAGGAAAATGTATGTTGTGGAACGCGTTGAGCCGTTGACAATTTATTAGAAAAACACAAAGATTCCCTTTATACACATAGGCGTATATGCCGCGGGTTCACTAGGATCAATGCAATAACAACACGTAAACAGCAAGGTGCGGCGGGTACGCCGCAGCCACATAGGCCGCCTCAGCATTAGCTATCAATAGTGAACAAGTTTCAATATAAGGGACGGCTCTACAACACCTCCGTCCTAAGATGAACAACGGTACATCTTATAATAAGGATCTACTTGTAGACGTTCTGGTGGGCGACGATGGCGACTTGGTCTGGTTGATGTCGGTGAAGTAGACGAGGTGGCTTGGTGTTCAGCAGCATCGAAACCACTGTTAAGTCGGTCTTCGTCGGAAGTGGACTGTGTCGAGTCATGATGGCGATCCATACTTGCTGCGCGGCGCATCTGGTTCGCATATCGTCTCCATAACTGGCCGTCTTCAGTAAGCACGCCATATAGTGCTTCTCCGTAGCGTTTCTTCACTCTAGCTGGAATCCATTTTTCACATCCAGAGCGAAAATCACGTACCCACACGGCTTCTTGTGGCTGGTACGCTCTCTTTCGTGCTCCATGGTGGCGGTTAAACTGCTTCTCCATGTTTTCATTGCCCATTCCTTCTTCTTTGGAGTCTTCATTAAGCAGCGACAGCGGTGTTCTTATCTGACGTCCCAGGAGCAGCTCGGCAGGCGAACGTTGTCCCGGAGCAGTTGTACAAGGCGTTCGTCGATAAGACTGTAGAAACTCCGCAAGCTTCTCTGCCGTTCCTCCCTCCTTAATTTTCTGGAAGGTCCTTTTGAAGATATCCACAAACCTTTCCGCTTGTCCATTTGATTGTGGATGGAATGGGGGTGAACGCATATGCTTGATTCCTCGCTCTTCACAGAAATCTTGGAACTCCTTTGCTGTGAACTGCGTCCCATTATCCGACACGATCACTTGCGGATTTCCAAATCGAGCGAATAGAGATCTGAGTTCTCTCAGGGTAGCTGTAGTTGACGATGAAGGCATCTCAAGTACTTCTGGCCATTTCGAGTAAGCGTCAACTACGACGAGATACATCTTGACATTTAGCGGTTTTGCATAGTCAATGTGAAGTCGATTCCATGGTTTGTCTTCCACTTTCCATGAATGCAGCATCGTCTTCACTGGCGCTTTGGAGGCTTCTTGACAATCCCTACAGCGGCGCACTGAGTCTTCAATTTCTCTGTTGATGCCCATCCAGTATGCGAATCCTCTTGCGAGCATCTTCATCCTTGTCATTCCTGGGTGACCCTCGTGTAACTGCTTCAGAACCGCCTGTCTCAGCGAAGCTGGAATGACTATTCTGTGGGCGAAGTACAAACATCCGTTTTGCACTGATAAATTCCCCCTCAGTGCTCTCCAATTTCGGACTTCTTCTTTCGGCTTGGACGGCCATGCTCCTGATTGCAGCATTCCGCAATGGTTTCGTCCTTACGAGATTCTTCTTCAATCTTCCTCCGGGTTACTGGTAACGCTCGTACAGCAGCAGCTTGAACAGCTCGCACCTCTTCTTCTATCTTCGCTATAACAACGTCTTCGGTTTGGAATGGCCTTGGAGGGATCAGTCGAGACAGTGCATCAGCTTGTCCGAATTCGGTCGTCTTGCGGTACTCCAAGTCGAAGTCGTATGCGAGTAGAATGAGTTTCCATCGTTGCAGCCTGTTCGCTGTGTACACCGGTACCATCTTCTTGGGTCCAAAAATGTGTAGCAGCGGCTTGTGGTCGGTGAGCAATCTGAATCGGCGTCCGTATATGTACCGATGGAACTTACGGACCGCGAAAACCAATGCTAGTCCTTCCTTCTCAATTTGTCCGTAGTTCTTTTCTGCGGCTGTGAGACTTCGGCTTGCATGGCAGATAGCCTTTTCTGTCCCATCTGGCATCTTGTGCAGAATTACAGCCCCGATTCCGTAGTCTGACGCATCCGCAGCTACCACTATCTGTAAGTCAGGATCGAAATGTGTAAGGAGTAGATCGGAGGCTAAGACTTCTTTGGCACGCTTGAATGCGTTTTGGCATTTCTCTGTCCATTCGAACTTTGCGTCCTTCTTGAGCAATGCGTCCAGGGGTGCTCTAAGCTGGCGCATCTCGGCCACGAATAATCCAT